CCAAAGTCCGGCACAAAAGGCACGCACAAAGGGGTGGGTTCGGGGGGGGATGCATATGGGGAACACCCACCCACATATGTGTATGTGATGACCTATGGCCCAGCACCTACGTACCCTACCGACCATAGAGGGCAGAGCGTAGAGCTTTGTTTTTGGCCAAACGTGCGAATATTTTTGCCACTTTTTGTCCGAAAGTTGCACAGGAAATGGGTCTGGCATATGGTTGCAGGCACTGTCCTGACTCTGGTCAGGACATGGAACCAGGAACCGGGGACGGGACCAACAGCCCTTAATGCCCCAGCCCCCACCCCCCTCACCCACCCAACCACACACCCCCCCCTATCTGTGCCTCTTGCAGGATGCGTTTGCTTTGGCTTTTGATTTGTTTTTGTTGGGTTAGAAGGCGGCAGAGGTGGCGGGGGGGGGGAGGAGTCTTCTGTTGCTGCTGCCTCATGCCTGCTGCATGCAGATGCAAAAATATGCTTTATGTAGGCGCTGACAAAAGGGGGGCGTGGTCGGTCTGCGTGTGTGTGTGGTCATGGGCGGAAAATTCAATTCAATTGTCAACAGCCGACCGGTTCGTCCGTTTCGTTTCGGTCCGTTCCGTTTCGTTTCGTTCCGTTCCGTCTCGTTCGTCTGCCTACGGTTGGTTCATCCCCTCTACGTTCTGTTCTGTGGCCACAGAAATAGGCGCCAGTTTAGGGGTCTGGGGTTTTCATTTTTCCGTTCGCCCTCCGACCCCGCCTGTCCCTCTGTTGGTGCCACTCTGCAGCACACTCGCACGTTATATAATGTGGCATCATTTTGTGGTCAGCATTTATGCACGCCCACATATGCACATGCGAGTGCTCCCTACAATTTAGTAGGAGGCCTTTTGTGTCCATGGCCTAAAGCTACCCCAAACCCAACCCCAACACCAGCCCCTGCTCTGCCCTGCTGCTGCTGCTGCTGCTCATCTGTGGTTAAGAGGGGTGACGGTAGGTTCTGACCCGCTCTCTCTCTCTCTCTCGCTCTCTGTGTGACTTTTGAACTGCAATGGAGAGCAGCCATTTAATGCACAAGCCATGTCAAAAGTCATTTCAGCCAAGGCGACTCCATTGAACGACTCAATACCCTCTGGGGCTCTCGCACTCGCTCAGCCCCCACTCCTCGCTCTCCTCGTGGCTTACTCCTTGTGTTAATTGATTGTTATTGTGTCTCTGGGGCAGTGATGCCATACGAAAGGAGGATGGTGGGCTGGTGGGCTGTTGGGCTGTTGGCAAGGACACTGAAGCCATTAGCGGCGGCAAACAAAATAAACTGATATCATTCCTGGCCACGAGTAGAGGACTCCTTTTCCTGCCTGCCAGCGCATGATTATTATTTCAGTCATTGTTTTCACGTTGTGTGATGCTCCTCCATGTTGTGTTGTGTTGTTTGTTGTGTGGCTGTGGCTGGTTGCTGGTTGCTGGTTGCCTGCCACATTTGAGGCATCTTTGGCCTGTCATGCACGAAACGAATGACAACTGAAACAATGGTAAAATGTATTTTTTAATTGTACTCCAGAGAGTAAACACACACACACACACACACACACACACACACTTACTTGTGCATAGACAACTAGAGAGAGAGAGAGGCTAGAGAAACCAAAGAGCCATGAACTCTCCAAACTCTCAACTATGAACTGAACCAAATAGAATAGAATAGAAATCTACTGTAGTACAGTGTACGCTGCACAGCACAGCACAGCACAGCGGAAGCGGAAATGGCAGACCAACAACAGCAGCAGCAGCAGCAGCCATAGCAACAAATGGCAATGGCAGCTGGAGCCCTGGCACTGAAGCTGAAGGCTCTAGTTCGAGCTTCTGTTTCTGCAGAGTGGAAAGAGAGAAAATTGTCGCATGGGGAGTCGTCGCACAGCGGAGGAAGAGGCATCCTCAAGTGGCGCTTAATGAAAGCGCAACAGACAACGGCAGGACCGCAGGAACACGACCACACGACAAAAGGGGGGACAGGACAGGGCAGGGCAGGGCACACTCACAGAAGTAGAAACGGGCAGAAACAGAATCAGTGTGGTGGGGGTGGGGGCGAAAAGAAGAGGACAGGACAACTAAATAGGCGAACCGCAAAAACCCATCGTCAAGAAGAGACAGAAACAGGAGTAGGAGCAGGAGCAGGAACAGGAGCGGGGTAGGGAGTAGTTAGTGGGGAGAATCCAACTATGGGGAGCAATAATAAAATTCACGGGAATCGAGATGACAGCAGAGGAGTGGAATGGAGTGGAGTGGAGACGACCTCAAGCCGGAGACGGAACCAAAGCCAGAACCACTCCTCGAACTGTGGGCTGTGGATTGGGACTGGGAGTGCGACTGGGACTGGGACTGGGGCTGGGAAATGTGGAATGGAAATGATTCTACGACTGCGACTGGTGCTGTCACTTAGCGTGTGACATGTGTCAAAACAAGCAGCAACCGCAGCAGCAGCAGCAGCAGCAGTCACGAGAGACCGTGACCAGGCCGAAGACAGAAGTGCAGCCAACCAAAATACTGAAGGAATGGAATGGTGGTTTTTGCACCCCTAAACAATCGTTGGGAGACCCTCAGGAGAGAGGGAGAACCCACCCACAAACTTCTGTTCATAGAAGGTTACGTTAAGAGCGAGGAACCAAACAAAATGATTAAAGGAAAGAAAGAAGCAGTTGAAAGCTGCTTCAAAATAATATAAATCCACTCCCAAAAAGAGGAGGAGTACGCCACAAGCACACAGTCGAAAGGGTTTATGGCAAACGTTAAAGTGCCTTCCTCTCTTTTCGTATTTCCATATGCATGTGCAGCGGACATTTCGCAGCTGCCAAAAGGAAAGACTTTGCCACAGGTTATGGATCACTGAGCAGGAGTTATTGTGCGTGATTTACATTCCCAATTGCATGGCAATTACAAGTCCATTAACATTGCCATTAACCCATGGAGTGGAGTGAAGCTGCCCCAAAATGTGAGGCCAGTGGACTGCCGACATCAGGGGACAAGGGACAAGGGACACTGAGGCGATTAATGGTCAAGCCGGCCAGAGAGGGGGCGAGAGCTATTTATGGGACACAGAGACACCAGAAAGACCAAAAACAGGGACAGAGAGCGAGAGAGAGAGAGAGACGCCCCCGCCCGCATATTACTTTGACAAGGACAAACTGTTGCCTGCCTGGTTGTTGCCTTGCAGCCTGCCAGACACTTCCATACTGTTTAGTGTTGTAAATAATCACAAAACTGTGCTGGAAGGAGATACGTCGCTCCCCATCCTTTCGTGGCATTACCCTTCTCCATTACAAGTACCCCACTCATCACTGGCTCTGGCTCTTGCCTCTTGGCTCTTGGCCCTGCCTCCTTTCCTTCCTTCCTTCCGGTTTGTGTTTGTCAAATAAGCAGCTTTCCTCAAGTGCCAAATGCCATTGACAGCAGCAGGCCAAGAACGAGCTCCTCGATGGATGGCATAGAGTTGTTCTCCTATTGGGCTGCTCCTGCATCCTCCTGCGTCTCTACTTTGGGGTAGTGTATAATGGGATTTTGGTTTATTAATTACCCAGCTTGGAGAGCCTCCAGGAGATAGATGTGTGTGGGTGGGGGTTTCTGCACTAGAAATTGAATTAAGGAAGGAAGAAACAGGAGGCAGGAGTATCGATTGTGGACTTATAGTAATTTACTCTACTGTGCGCTGTACTCTGTACTCTGTGACTCTGTTTAACCCCTCACGTATCGTTTGGCATTGTAATATCAAGTATACGTACGTACGAAATACGTGCAAATAAAATGCACAAAACTTTTGATTTATTTCCACGTAAAACAAACATTGAAAAGGCTCAACGTCCACACCAAACGCACACACACACGCACACGCACACAGGGGCTCAAATAGAAAGAGATGGCTACAGAGAGTGGCAGATGGAGAGAGAGAGAGAGATGCAGGTGCAATTCGCGTGCCCCACTCTGCAGACAGTATGTTCCAGCAGGGATGCCAGGTCCCTGTTTATGTGTACACATTCATTAAAATGTCGAACATCGAAAGTGCCTATTCAGGTTGTTGCCACGCCCACGGCACAGGGCACACGGCACACGGCACAGGCACAGGTACACAGTGCAATGGTAAATGCAACTGCAACTGCAACATCCAACTGCATCTGCAAATAATTGTCAGCTTACTGGCTCACATTCAATGTGGCATTGTTGATGCTGCCCACCAAGAGAGTGTGAGAGAGAGAGCGAGAGAGAGAGAGAGCGAGAGAGAGAGAGAGAGAGCTGCTGAAGCCCAAAATGAAACAATCACGTGCCCCATGAAATCTATGCACGTGAAAGTGGGATTCAAACAGTGCGACGGGGCTTTGAAATGGTGGAAATCCACCCATAGCATCTCCCCCCGCTCTGCAGGGGAAAGAGGTGGCAGGGCGAGAGACAGAGAGAGAGAGAGGGAACTAGAGAGTGCTGCTGCTGCTGCGGAAGTCAAACGGTATTTGTAATGAAAACAGGGCCATGTATATGCATCTCCCTCTGGGTGGATCTATGGCTCCTAACCCTTCTTCTTCTTCTGTTTTTTTTTTTTTGGTGCATTGCCAACGCACTTTAATCCTCGTGCTCATAGAAAGGGAGGGGGCAAGCAGGAGGAGCAGGGCCACCAAGAGATATTTGAATTGCGCCAACAGAAGCAGCAGCAGCAGCAAAAGAGGAAAATGGGGGGGAAAATGGGGAAAATTGTAGCTGCACATGACGCGTGATTTATGTATTTTCGTCAAATGGCAGCCACCGCAGCAGCAGCAGCAGTGGATGCAGCAGTAGGCAGCAGTGGAACAAAGCTGCCATGAAATGCTAATGATGCCCCATGCCTCGAATGCCTTTCATAACCCAACACGAGTGGCGCACTGCAACACCACACACACACACACCACACACACACAGGATATAAATACACACATACATATGCATATGCTTGTTCTAACACTTTTTGGTTGCCCCTTTGCACCCTTTCCGTTGCAGGATCACAAGCTGAAGCACATGGCCGAGTTGCAGCAATCAGTTGTCACCGATCAGGAGACACGTCATCAGATCCAGGGCCAGATACTGCAGTGGGAGGAGAACCTCGAGCGACTGCACTGCGAACAGTTCCGATTGCGCTGCTATATGGCCTCGCTGCAGAGCGGAGAGCTGCCCAATCCAAAGGTGAGTTATGGCACATGCCTGTCAGGCCAACAGGCCAAAAGGCCACCAAGCAATTAATGGTGGCTTTGGCCCCCGTTTATGGCCACAGCTTAGCCAAAAAACGTGAGAGCAGGATAGCAGATAGGGAGAGAGAGAGAGAGGATAGGCTGTCTCGTTTGGCAGCGGTTGAGTAATTCCTCGAAAAATACATTTGAAGAACCTGCGCCTCCTCCCTTAATCAATGCCTAATGCCGTGGAACAAAACACCAGGTTAGGCCTAAGCTGTAGCTGGAAGCCGCCCCCACGCCCCCTCCCACCAAACTTAGCAGCAAACCATCGTGCAAACATCAAAACCAGGATTCACAGCCAAGTTAAGGGCTTAAGGCTTAAGGGCGCACAATACAACCACAATGCCGAAAATCCACAGAACAATAATACCCACTTCCTACTCCCCACTCCCCACTTCCCACTCCACACTCCAATCCATTGCAAACAGAGCAAACCCGTTTTCTTCTAAACCCTTTACGTGTTCGAGTTGTCTATAATTACCTCTACCTATTCGCACAATGGCTGCTGTACCCACTACCACTCCCACTACCACTACCACTCCCACTCCCAAATCTAAGTCAAATCAAACCCCTAACATGCACAATTAATCTCCATAACAAAGTTTAAGCGTCTTAAATGAGCTTAAAGGGAAGCTTCGCTCGCCCTTGACTAAGGCATCTGTGGTAAAGCGTAGAGAGGAGAGAGATGGATTGAGGATGTCTGACTAACTGACTGACTGACTGAAAAGGGTTGAAAAGAGCAGCCATATAGCCAGTAGCAATAGGAGTACGGGCGCACGGGTACGGCTACCCTCTATGCAGGTAGAAGTGCAGCGAAAGGCAACATTATTTATTATTAATAGCCACAAAATGCAAACAACTTCAGACCAGCCAGCACCTGTGTGGAGATGTGAAGAGAGCAGCACAAACTTCACTTCAGCGCCCGCTCAACGGATTATTTGCATAGTAGGTCCCCCACTCCTCTTTCCGAATGCTTTGCTGTGTGTAGCCATAATAGCCGGGGAAGTAAGATTAGCTGTGTGGTAGGTCTCGTATAGAGCTCAGCCCTTTTACTTTCATTTAAAACACTTCTTGCTCGTCGTTTTCCCTCTACTCGTATTTATTTTAATATTAAATATTCTTGTATTTATTTGCTACCACAGTCGCTGCTCACTCACGTGTCCAGGCCAACAAAGAACACACTGAACAAGCTGGGCGTGTTTACGGTCTCCTCGTTCCACGCCTTCATCTGTGCCCGTTCCCCGTCGCTGCTCAATAATCTGCTGGCGGGACGCGGTGCGACCAAGCGGCGGCCACCAATGCTGTCGCGATCGAATAGCGGCTCCAGTCGTCGCTCCATGCAGGTGAGTCCTTTTTAACGTTTCTCTCTATGTGTGTGTGTGTGTGTGTGTGTTTATCAATGTGTTCTTCAATATATGTATGTGTCGTATGGTCGGTCATCAAGCTGCGGCGGTGGCGGCCGCGGTGACGGCACTGGGGGCGTATGCGTAATAAAATTATTTCAATTTTAAACGCATTTATGGCGCTACCCACGTCTGGATCTGTGTGGGTGTGTGTGTTTATAGCCTTCTCTTTATGTTCGTGTGGGTTTGTGGGTGTGTGTGCATTTGTCTTTGTGTATCTGTGTGTTTGAGTAATTGAATTTTTATTTAAGGCAACGGAAATGGCATTAAAAGCTAAATTGAGCGCTAATGCCTCGAATGGCAAATGCCTGATGTTGGATGGCCACCAACAAATTTATGTGTGTCTGTGTGTGTGTGTGTGTGTGTGTGTGTGTGTTTGTCTTCTCTTACAGAGAATGGACCAACGTCCATTAGAACTTGTTGTTTTTGTATATTTTTTGGCTTTTATAATTTGCATTTAATGGCCATCTAAAATTACAAAAGAATGCAAAAGAAATGGAATTTATGGAAAAGCGAGAAAACTTGGCCAAAGAAAAATATTTGCATATTTTTGAGTAAATAATTCCAGGCGAAAAGCGAATACCAAATGATGATCTAGCAGTCGACCGCCACCCTAATGACCTCATCATCAAATTTAAATCAAAAAGAAATTTACTTCAAATGTTGTGATTATATTTCCCCCACAAATCACTCAAAGCCAAGTCCAACAGATTTCATCTGTGGAATACTTATTTGATGGTCTTCAATTAGTACAACTAATTTGTGCATATATCCTACACATGTATATATATATATATATATGTATGTATGTATGTTGTGTGTTCGTTCATAATGAAATTCATTTCATAAATTCAATTTATTTCGATTATTGACAAAATAATCTTGTGCACAACTCAGATTTCATGGAAGATGGAGCCTCTGACTGACTGGTTCTGCCACACACACACACACACACACTCATCATTTCCAATTAAATTTGCCAACGCTGCACAATTGCCTTTCCTCCCCGGCAAAAAAAAAAATATAAAGGACGAAAAATACTACTTGCATGGCATCCATACATATGTATATCCAGATATACAGATACATATATTCATGTAAAAACAAATGAAATGAAATAACATAAATGAGAGGAGCGACAGGGCAACCCACACACTCGATGCTTGCTGGCTGTTGCCATTCGGTTTCCCATTCGGTTACTGGCTGAAAATTTCGTTGTAAATGCGCTGAAAATTCAATGAATTTGAAAAATGTGCATTTGATTTGGTTCATTCTACCCCCCGTGCCCGCCCCACTCTCACCTCTCCACTGCATCTATCTGGGTTCTGCCCGTGACTGCATTTCATTTTTGCCATTTTACGTAACATGTCAACTGCAATGCAGCAGCACAACAAAGTGCAGCCTGCAGACTGCAATTCAAAAATTGAAATAAAATTAAAGCATTCCCAAAGCAAATTATCATCGGCAGTTATACTGCGACTCGTACGAGTGCGTCCAGCACCCAATAAACATTTCAAAAAATATATAACAAAATATAGCAAAAAAAAATATAAAACACTGCAACTAAAATTGAATCAAGTGACTAGCCATGGAATCCATGGCGGTAAGTGCACTCTATCTTTCCGCATTCCCGCAGTAAATCAAAACTTAATTAGACACCAAAAAAAAAAATGTCGAGTGTTCGAGAGGGAATAAAAAAAAATATTTTCAAAAGGGAACGTAAAAAAAAAATATACTTAATAGTAAGAAAAAAACACTAATAGATAAAGTGAATGCAGCCTCCATTGAAGTCAGAAATTGCCTTCTTCTGGCATTACTCTCAGGCCATACGAATTCTGTTTCCAGATATCTAAAAGGAATTTACAAAACACCCAGGGAAAGGTTCCGACAGGTTATATCTTTGCTAAAATTAAGCTTGGGAAACCAAACCATAATCTTATAACAGTATAGATCAGGTATACTCGTATATATATCATGAAGGGAAACGTTTATTGTCAAAATATTATGAGCTCCTGTTTGGCTTTTTTTGCTCAAGAATTAGGGAAATTCTTGCCAGAAACCCACTCATGAAACGAATACAATATTTAGCTCCCCTTTGATCCGCATTGGCTTAAGGTTGATGGAATTTCTTGTTCGATACTTTGCATACTCGTATCCCACAAAAATCCTTCTTTCTCATGCAACAGCCAGCCAGCATCTGCAGAAGCTGTCAGCATTCCACATACGAGCATCCTTGTACTTTACTTTCATGAATATAAAGTTGATGTATCTTTGATGCTGGCATAATGATCCCGTAATCGATATGCAAAATTGTTGTGCAACGGCTTGTCCTTTTTTTGACGGTGGGGGCGCCAGACGATAGATAGTCCTTATTTGTCCCGAAGCTATGGCTGTGGATGTCGATGTGGCAACTGCCAAACTAATTCGATTGTCTCCTGCGAGTGGTGTGTGTGTGTGTATGTGTGTGTTCGAGTGTATTACCTGGTCCAAAAACCAGCTGCAGCGGGGAAAGTACCTACTCCAGACCGTAGCAGAGCGAAATGGAGGAGCAGAGCACCATTGCCAATGGCGGCTGCCAATACAAATGCAATTTCCAGCAGCCGACAACTGGCAGCTGGGCCACCTGATTCGTTTACAGATGCAGCCAGAGCTTCAGAGCCAGAATGGAGATGGAGAGATGGGCGCAGGAGCAGGAGCAGCCAGCTCCATCATAGAGTTAACATCGGACGAGGATGAGGATGAGGACGAGGACGAGGATGACGTTGTGGAAACTGTTAAGCATTTTAACTGAGTTTTCTTTTTGAAATTGTATGAGTGCGGGGCAGGCAGGCAGGCAGGCAGTCAGATTCTCCTCCAGACTGTGGTCCGTGGTCCGGGTGCAGGCAGAATTCGCGGCACCAGCTCCTGCTCCAGCTCCAGCTACTGCTACTGCTTCGACTGATGTAATGCTGCTGCTGGCGACATTTTTCATTACGTTTGAGGGGTGGCATGCAACATCGTCAGCGACGAACGTCAGCGTCAACTGCGGGTGAAAATGTGTGTTTGCTATTTTTCAATTTTCACTTCCGTGTGGATATATATTTGTATCAGTGTCTGTTTGTGTGTGTGTATGTGTGTATGGACTTGCCTCCCAAAATGTCTGTGCCTGACTGCTTAATGACATTGTACGTGTGTCCCCCCTGTACGTTTATGTCTACGTTCTGCATCTGTATCTGTATTTCTATATTTGTATCTGCGGCCATGTCCGCCAGTGTGTGTGTGTGTTCACTCCTGTTTATCCAATCGAATTTTGTGCCTTTTTCCAGATGAATTCACGTGACGAACCGGAAAAAACTTTCAAAGTTGCAATGCCCGACAATGCTTACTCGACAGTTTATCTACGTGATGCGATGTCTGTCGAGGAGTTCCTCGCCAGCGCCTGCGCCCGTCGCAACCTCAATCCCATGGAGCACTTTGTGCGCGTCAAGAAGCGACGTGACATGGAGGATCACAATTACTTTGTGCCGCATCGCAACGATCTGATTGAAAATTATGTAAGTACACATATATGTACTATAATCAAAGCCAGACTGCCTGGAATGCCACGAATGCCACGAATGCCAGACAGGTATACACAGACACAGTCACAGCTACAGTTGGGACAGGAGAAAGTCTCCTTCTGCTCCACCTACAACTCCATCTGCCCTGCATAGGGAATACATTGCCAGCATTCCGTGTGTGCATCCAGTGGGGGGTCCTGTGCCAGCAGCAACGGCATAAACTTCAAGTTCAATTCAACTTATTGAATTACGATGGGAAATTGCATCGTGCAGGAAGGGAAAGGGGCATGGAGTGGCCATGTGTGGAGCATTTAATCCAAGATGGATGTTCAATTTAATGTGACTCCAGCGAAGTGCCAAAAAGGCGCTTTAAATCCATACCTCATACAGATTATGGCAAGTGGAGAGAGATTATCCTTATCTTTGGAGTGCACTCTAGCAAAGAGTGCAAATTATAATTTATTATGGCATAAACTACATCTACAACTACACCCAATTTTGGTATAAATGATACCTTATTTTGGCTAAGTTATTATATTAAATTTAGGCGGACATTTCTCATAATTAGGAATTCTTCACATCCATCCGCAAATACGATGGCAACTTGCTCTTAAATTACAATAAGAAAGCAATGCTTGAAGACATACATATATATTCCTTTATTATAGTTTAAGGGGGGACATCTGTAATCATTAAACACCCATTAAGTACTCACCCCATAGAATAAGTGTGACTGCACTTTGTCTTGCAACAAAAGACCAAATATTTTGAGGGCGTACCCAGCCGCCCCCCACCGGTGGTACTCTTCGATGCTGAAAGCATAATGCCATAAATTATAAACTTTCCCGTTGGCATTTTCCCCTCCACTTGGCACCCGATTAGTCGTCGGCTAGGTGAGACTTTAGCCAGCTGCCAAGTCAGCCGCTGGCTGTGGAAACTTTTCACTCTCTCACTCACTCGCTCGCTCGCTGTCGCGCTCCATCTCTCTCTCTCCATTGAAGTTGCATCTCCATCTGAACTTCGACCTCAACAACAAGCCAGTAAATACCATCGGCCATGGCAACTGGCGATTGGCAATTGCCAAATGGCAAATGGCAAAAATGTGCAACTGGCAAATATGAAAAAGTTTCTTTCTCTCTCGTTGCCGTTGCGTTGGTGGCAGTTCAATAAATTTTCGACAACAACTTGAGCAGAACTCGCAGCAACTCCACTCCATCAATGGAGTGTCCTCCTCCTCCTTCTCCCCATCCCTCCTTCATTCTTCATCCTTCATCCAGGATTCAGCATCCTGCATCCTGATTGCTTGCATAACTCGGCTAATTTGGTACTCAACTTTGGTCTCTCCTTCTCATTTGCCATCTGTTTTGCAGCTACATAATCATGAATTCGTGGAGGTCTGCATGAAAATATTGTACCAGGTGGAGCTGCAGCGTACTACCCTCGAGCAGATGTGGGGCTTCTCCGTGGAGGCGGAATTGATTGAGAATGCGGAGCGGCAGGACGAGCTCTGCTGCTATGTGAGTCGCGTGGAGGACAAGAGTGTGGCAATGCATAATGGTGAGTACGAAATAGTTTCATAAATATACCACAAAACAATACAAAAATTAAACAAAACGAGAAGAAAACCGAACGAGATATGAAGAAACGAGACGAAGTAAAGACATACCGAGACGGAACAAGATGGCAATTTAGTTTAAGTATAAAGAACCTCCTGCTCCTTCGGTTGATGATATCCTGCATTTAACTTAGACACATTTGTACGCAAAGAGATGAAAATCGTACGAGACGATGAAAAACGAGATGAAACAAGAAGAAACGAGACAAAAAGACATAACGAGACGAAACAAGATGAAAATTTAGTTTAAGGATGCGATCTCCGTATTCAGTTGATGAAATCGTGCATTTAATTTATGCCATTGAGGTGACGCAACGGGCGAATGAAATGAAATTCATTCTTTGTCTTGCTCCGTGCCGTGCTCTCCCACTTTCCCACTCCTTTTCGCTCTGGAGACTCCGACTCCACTCACCTGGTCGCCCAAAGCGAAACAATGTGGCCCAATGTTGCCAAGAAAATTATAAAGTGCCCTGCTACTCCCACTGCTGTCCCGCTGTCCGCCTGCCTGCCAGCTCACCTGCCTGCTCTTTTCTGTAGTTGTATGCTTCTTTTATATTTAAATGCTTTTCACTTTTATGTAAAAAAAAAAAAAGAAAAGAAAGAACCAACGAAAGAAAGAAAGACAGCCAGGGAAGAGGAGGAGCCGCAGCAGTAGGAGGCGAAACTTGAGCAAACTCACTTTGGTCTACAACAGTGCCCAAGTCGAGTCGAGTCGAGTCAAGTGGAGTTTGAGCCAGGCTGGATGAGGAGGATACCTGGTATGTTGATGTAGGGGGAGGAGAGGGCTATGGTTAGGAGTACCGATTGTATAGAACCATGCCTGGCAGCTCCTCGGGGCGTGCAATGCGAAAAGTCAACTGTCAGCGCTTGTTTGCCAGGTGGGAAAAGTGGAGAAAACGGTGGAAAGCAGGCAAAAGAAAGGACACGATGACGATGATGGTGATGAGCAGCGCACTCGAAATGTTTGCCAGGTGTGGGCAGGGATACTAGTACTTTGACTGCAGCCAGCACCGAAGCCGAAAGGGTCCTTAAAGGGTTTCGCACAGAGGGAGAGAGCAAGGGAGAGCGCAGCGAGCGACATCTTAGCCGGCTCCTGTTCCTGCCTCAGCTGCAGCTTCAGCTTTGGGTGCCTTCTCCTGCTGTTGTTTTTCTATCACTTAAAATCAACTTAAGTTGGCATTTGCATTCGCCGGCACGGGAAGCAGGACGACGAGGACATGGAGTCAAGTGGATGTAGTCGAAATGCCACTAGAACAGCGCCTTAAATTATGGAACTGACATCCTTTCTACCTCTGCCAGCACTCTCTGTGGGCGGCAGGTAGTGAAAACTGCAATGCTGCACTTGGCAAAGTGATGAAGCGAAAGAACATTTCTCGCTTCTCCTGCAGCATCAGCAGCAGTGGCAGTGGCAGAAGCAGCAGCAGCAGCAGCATCAGCAGCAGCAGCAGCAGCATCAGCAGCAGAAAACTCATTAAGCACGTCGAGTGCAAGTGCGAGAGTGGCGCTCATTTGGTTGGTTTTGAAGGCGACAACGAATCAAAAATCCATGAAACAATGCACACGAAATTCGCTGGAAGGAACACGGGTGAAAAAAAACAACAACCGCGGGAGAGGCAAAAGAAAATATGAAAGGGAAAGGGAAATTCACCGTCAGTCGGTGCAGACTTGTGCTAATGAGTTTTCCGATTGAGCAAATGTTGCATTAGCTGTGGGTGGGATGAGGTGGTGAGAGACGGGGCATTTCCTGAAACAATTGCATAATTAAATGGCGGGAAAGTCCCCCAAGAAGAACTCCTAGAAGTTCATGAAGCGAGTTCTTTGCTTTGGATGGTTTCCCTTTAAGATTACGTATACGACGCGTGTACAACATTTGGAGTTCCATAAACGGAATTCCAACTCTGATTTCAATGCATCGAATACAGATCTTACTCTCATTTGTTTTGGCATGAGAATCATCATCATGCAACATTACGTATAGGACGTGTTGAAAAAGCTTTAAGTGAAGCTTTAAGCCATCTCCGACTCTCTATCTCTGTGTGTTTCCCTCTCTCTCTCTCTCTCTCTCTCTCTCTCTCTGCGTGTATATCCCCCCGCAGTCATTGTAGTGGCGTGTGTATGCATAAATTAAGGACTCAGGACTCGCATTTACATTTGCAAAACGCAAAACGCAATAGGAAACTTTCTCAGCCCCTCTTCTGCACTCCACGGAGATAGAGATGATTGAGGCGAAGCAGGACGAGAAAGGGTGTGCCGAGAGCGAGTGTTGGCTGAGTACAATTGAATTTAATGGCTATTAGCATGTCGAAAGACGCAGCTCTTAAGCAGCAACCGCAGAACAAAGCCCCAAGCTTGGACCCAGACAACATTTACGAGGAGTAAATTGCACAAAAGTTGGTACCCCCAAGCTACAGCAAAACAAAAACAAGTTCTGACCGCAGCATTCAAATGCAAATATGGCACAGAAGCGGAAAATTCTGGCCACTTTTCCCCAGCTAATTGTGGATTGGTAACGAACTGGAGACAGACAGACAAACAGACAGAGAGAGAAAGAGAGAAAGAGAGAAAGAATGAGGCGTTGGCTTTGATGAAAATGTAAACTCCAAACAGCAGCAGTCTTTAAGTCCTGTAAGACTGCATCTCTGGTCTTGAGTCTTGAGTCTCGGGTTCTTTGGGCAGTATGTGCACAAAAGTTCAGCCGTTCGAGTGGCGCAACTTTGGCGTTGAAACAAGCGTGGCAAAGCATTTGGCAAACACGGAATAACAATTTGCTCAAGCTTCTTTGGAGTCTTATAGCCAGCGAACCGCAAAAAGGGAGCAAACGTGTTGACAACCCATGCATATGCCACACCATGCCACAAGGGAACGGGCACAGGAACGGAACGGAACGGAACGCAATGCAAAGGATAAGGATAAGGCAGCGCAATATAAATAAAATTTGTCTATTGCCAGAGCCAGAAATAATCCCCAACCTCATACCCATACCCAATGCGAATCCCCGAGATACAAGTAAAAGTACCAGACAGAGAAATATAATAAAATATATGTATGTATGTATGTACGTGTATGTGCATTTATATGGTAAATCGCATGTGTCATGCGATGGCAGCATTAAGATGTAAAAATCCGTTTAAATTGTAACAAATGCAGAAGGAGAGATGTCTCAAGGGACGAAGATATAGATGGTAGATGTCGTAGGTGAGCCAGCCAGCCAGCCAGAGGTAACGCATAAAATACTGCCATGGGGCATGGCATGCCACACCACACACATACAATATATCTGTCTATCGAACTTTGCCTTAAGAAAATGTTGTCGCTGCTGCTGGGTACTGGGAGCTGCTGCACCAACAATGATAAGCGACACAAGCAATGTTGCAACTGCAACTTGAATGCATGTCGTCAACAGGAAGAAGACAGCTCAGCTCTCTGCTGCTGATGGGGGGGGGCAGGTGGGGAGGCGTATGTGGAAAGTGAGACAGGTCGAAGCCTGGCGGAGAATAAACCAACATCCATGGGTAAAATAAATGTTGTAGAACACTCGCACACACACACACACATGAGAGACGAGTCCTGCAGACAAAGTAGAAAATGCTAACGAACGCAGAGCACAAGAAAGAGAGAGGGCGACGAGTAGTCAAGTTTGTGGGTGTGTGTGTGTGTGTGTGTGTGTGTGTGTGGGGTGGCAGAGAAAAAGAGATGGAGATGACGAAGGGATAACGTGGCGTATGAACAATGCAAAAAACCACAATGCTCTTGTTGTTATTGTTTTATAGAAAGAAGCAGCAGCAGTAGCAGTGGCAGCAGCTGAAGACATTCCGCTTATCGTTTGTTATATAAAAGATGTCAGTGGTGCGCATACAGCAGCTGCAGCAGCTGCAGCAGCCACACAATTGTCAGACATTGATTCCCGTTGCCTGCCGAACCCCCCACCTTGATTGCAGTAGCATTAGAAACTGTCCAAACCACCCCACCCCCACAATACCCACCAACTTCTCCGCAGGTGCTCTATTGTCTAAGCGTATCCTCAACCACATAGAACAGAGAACAGAACACAGAGACAAAAACTAACAATACCTGCAACATCTACTCAAACACGTATTGTATTGGTAGTTGTAGCTATAGCTATAGCTATAGATATGTGTTGAGCATCCACTAATGCTGTCTATCCAATTGCAGGCATTATCAAAGGAGACGAAATAATGGTCATCAATGGGGCAATTGTATCCGATCTAGATATGATGTACTTGGAGAGCGTCCTGCAGGAGGAACAATCGCTCAGCATGATGATGCGGTAAGTTATGCCCGAGCCCTTGTTTATGCTCTGTTTAGCATCTGTTTCGTTCGACCTCAATGGATACACGAGAGTATCCATGAAATACAATATACTGTAGCACAGGGCTATCTATAGAATAGCAGGAAGAATGGGATGCCTTCCTTCCATTGTTTAAGTTTCAGTTATACGGATTAATTAACTATTTTAGTCGCTTGTCCTCTGGCCTCCTGCCATGTCTGTCAATTAGCGCTCGGCATTCGCTGGATGATGGGACAGCGATGGGGCCCATCGGACAGGGTGTGGGCTGGGCCGTGAAAGAGAGCGTAATGTAATATCCCGGTCATTGTTCCCCATTGTATTAATATGAGTTTGCTCTCGGCTGTGGCCTTTTTGATGGCCAATCAGGTTGAATGTTCTCTGGGGGAAAACGGGAACGACCCTGCCCTGCTGATTTCATTTCAATTATATTTATGCAAAATATAAAAAGAGTACGACCCATACGGATTACCCAGCATTAAAAAAAATTTCAAAATTAAAAATATCCCATATATTCCTACTGATGGTGATGGTGATGTTAATTAAAACACATCCTTTTCCTTTCCATCTACACATATATTGTATATTGTGTGTGTGTGTGTGTGTGTGTGTCTTTTCCTCTGGTCACAGAGGACTACTGAAACCGCTCTGCCCCAGACCACATCAAGTTTTTTGGGGTGTGGGGAGGGGTAAAGCCACACCCAAAATGTCAACAATCGACAAGCTTTGCCAATTTTTGATGATGTTACAGCCAAAGAAGTTCCCATCACATCCCATACCTCTCCCTGCCTCCCACCGAAACATAAAATTGAAACTAAACCAAAAGCAAAAATTGTTTCGCAACAATTGGGAAAAAAAAAAAAACAAAGTTGAAAAAAAAAAAGTACAAATTGTTGAGGAAGAGCAAAAGAGGAGGATAAAAAGGAGGGGCAACGATGTTTAAACCCAAAAAATGTTCCATGTACATTCTCGAACCATTTTTGGTTTTATAGTTTTTCAGCAAAGTCAACAACAAGTTCAAGCCGCAGCTGGAAAACTGTGAAAACGAGGAAAATGGGGGGTTGAGGCAAACCCAAACACGTTGCCGGGCCACGTTCTCTCTGGTTCGTGGGGCACTTTGTTCCGTTTCGTTGACCAGCACGGGTCTCCGTCTCCCCGTTGCCCAACGCCATCCCCATCCCCACCACTCCTGCTCCTGTTCCAGCTCCAGCTCCAGCTACATACACTACAGCTCTCTTGCCAGGCATCACCTTTTGGCCCCAGCCGAACGGCATTTTGATAGCCTAATTAGCTTCTCTTTATGGAAAACGAAAACAGAAAGCTTTTGTGCTAAGCGTTTGTGGAACCGAATGCTGCCCCCTCCCCACCAGCTCCAACTGCTCCGCCTCCCAGTCACCAGTCACCAGTCTCCAGCCTCAGCCTCAGCTTCAGCTCCTTCTCCTCCATTTTCCATTCAAATTATGCACGTTGCGAGCATTTTCCGCATCTTTTGCTAATTTTGCGCACTGACACAGAAAAAGGTCACGTCGCGACGTCGGCCAATACCCACCAATCCCCAAAAGCCGCAAACCCTCAATCCGGAGTCCGAATTCAGGTGTTTCTATACGTTTCGGTTGTTTGATTTCGAGGGTTAAAAAACGGAAATTATGCAAATACAACAAACAAAACCAAAATCAAAAGTCCCTTCTTTAATATTCTTTCTTCTTGTTTCCCTTTAGGTCTTCCCGCACAGAACCGCCAGATCTAGTGGGGATCATGCGTGTGACGGATGATATGATTGATTCGCTGGTGTGTCCACCGCCGCCGACAGATCCGCCCGTGATGAGCGAGGAGATGATAACTGGACTGATTGTTCCGGCGCCCGGTTGGAGTAAGTATACAAACAGAGAGAGGTGGAGAGAGCATTAATCCTGTGGGGGGGATATTTGGCCATTTTAAAACATTTAAATGGAAACGGGAAAACGGGGAAAAAATGTTGAAAAAAAAAAGAAGAGAAAAAACAAAAACCGCAACGCAACATTCATCAGCTCGGTTGGCTACAACAAAAGCATACTAATCACGGCTATGGTTACGGTTCCATGTCCGTGTCCGCATCTGCGTCCGTGTCTGGGGTCGCGGTGTGCCATGAGCCTTGACGTAAGGTGCATGCTTCACGTCTCTCTCTCTCTCTGCCTCTACCTCTCTCATTCTCTGGCTATGTGTGTGTGTGTGTGAATGTGCAACGGAAACGAAAAAGCGCATTTCCGGGCGCGCATGCGAATTTGTAAAGTTCATTAAAGTAATTTATATTTTTTTTAACGTTTAATGCTGCCTTCAGACAACAAGCAAATGAGCGAGAGAGAGACAGAGAGGGAGTGAGTGCAAGTGTGTGAAAGAGAGGGCTGGGCGCATGAGTGGGCGAGAGGAGTAGTAGTGGAGCAGTAGTACCAACAACAATTACATCAATAAGTAAACCGGTTGAGAGACAGGGACAGAGAAAGTGAATGGGTTGCTGAAGAGGGGCGAGAGGTTGCTGTAGGATGTGGGTGGCATGTCGTTTCGCAACAACAAAACTACATAATTACAGGATTACAAACTGTAGCCACACACACACACACACACACACACACACACAGATACATACCCACTGCACTCAAAAAGCCGAAGTGGCTAAGAACACAAAACAATTAAAAACCAACAAACGCAGCGGCAACAGCAACAGCAGCGGTAGCGGTAGCGAAACTACAAAAAAAAATGCGATCAGAATAACAGAATAGAAGTGTGTGATACCGTAGCATATTTAAGGGAGAAAGGGAGATATAAACTACGTATATAACTAACGATTTTTATTAAATTTATAATGAACACATGAACCTTGAACCTATGAGACGACAGACCTTTTGAGCTTTGGCTACAATTGGTCCTATTTCGAGCTCAAATGCATAGAAACTGTAGCAACTGTAGGATATATATATATGCAGCTGATTGTATACTTTATCGATACGATAATATTTTTAATGGGTTCTCTCTCGAAGATGTTTTTTTTGTATGCCTTAAAATGGTGATACCATATGAAAGGGTACGAATATATGTACAGAAAAAACAGTAAAAAAAAAAAACCAGCAATAACGAGAAAAACCACAACAACGAGTACGAGACCAACAACAATCACAACAGCAACGAGTACGAGTGCGAGACCAACAACAACAACAGTAAACACAGGAAGAACAGGCGTGTGTGTTGTGTACTAAAAATGAAACTTTTGTTATTGCGGCAAACAATTAAAAGGCACAGAACGAAACACTAGAAAAAAAGAATTAAAATAAAACAAAATAATGCAACAACAAACACACAAAATTGTAGCAGAAATTAAACGACTCTCTATGCATACACATATGTATATTTACATATATTCGCAGAAACACATATGATGTGTGTGTGTGTGTGTGCGTATTAATATTTATTCCTTCTTTTTTTTTGACACACATATGGAAAAAGTGGGTGATGAGACGAGGAGGAGTAGGAGGAGCAATAACAGAGAGAACAGAGACAGTTTAAAGGGGAACATAAAAAGGAACAATCAAACAGTGGGGCAGTGGGGAAATTTGGCAGAGAACTGATTACAGAGAGCCGTTTTCCTCTCCCAGTACTTCAATTTTGCAACGAAATTGTTGATTGATTCCACTGCCACTCGTGCAATCAGAATCCGGGCCCAATCTGATGAGCGCTGCAGGGCTAAAATAATAGGGAGAGTGTTGCCTGCCTCTTCAATGCGATTCAATACGATTTTCCATTTTAATTTTCCAACCAAATAATTTTAAAATCGTATATTTTCTACTATTTAATAATTGAGGATTTTAATTTCATGCAGTCTGAAATCTGTCCCCTTTACAAAGAGTAATAAATGAGAATAACTAAATTCAGATTTTCCTGAATAAAATGACAATTTTCAAGCATAGTTTTGAAACTAAAAATAGAGAAAAAAAAATAAAATAAAAAAATAAAAAAAAATTATTAAACCCTGAAGAGATTTTCTGTTTCTGTTTGCATCAATCCATGTTATTGAATTACCAACATGGCGAACTGTCCCTCTTCTACTCTCCGTTACACCTCTCTCTTCCAGTCAAAAATTTAATTATTGTTTTCAGCCAGAAATCCCTGTAGCAATTAATAATATTGAATAGCCCAAAACAATAAAACTTTCAAGCTTTCAAGCTCGTAAAAATAGAGTCAAATATCCCACAAAAGTTGGTAACCATTCGGCGGGGGATCATTAACCCCAAAAGAAACTATGCAAGAGACGACGACTTCGTGCCAAGTTGTTTATGTAGTCTATGTAGTATGCTTCACTCCACGGGTCAGGGGGTTAAAAGAGTTCCCAAACTTGAGCTCTCCCCAAGCGTATCTCCTGCCATAAACAAGCAACGGTCCTAGTTCTAGTCCTCGTACTTTATTTAAAGCCACTAAAACTGAAAAAGTTATTTGCCATCGACAAATTCAGCTTGGCACGTCTAGAAGTTATTAGCCCTAGCTCAAGGAACAGGACGAGAACGAGGACCAGGAGTACGACCACGACCCATGCTACGTGCAATTTGGCAAAAGGAGACCGCAAACTGAAATTTATAAGACGGCAATTTCCAATACTCGTATCCTAGTGCTCGCTCGAACACGTGTGTGGTGTGGTGTGGTGTCAAATTTGTAAGGAAAATGTTCATAAAATTTACTTCTACCGAAAATTTGCATGCACGAAAGGCAAAGACAAGACAAGACACCAGCACCAGGACGAAAATGAGAATGAGACACCAAGACAACAAGGCGGGTGTTCAAGGACATGGACATGGCTTTTAAATGCTTCCTGGCTGCTGGCTAAAACTACTTCCAACTACATGGAGCAAACACACAAGAATATACTCACTACTATATATAGGGAATAGTACATACATATATTTATATGTATATATATATAGGACTTGGCCCCATACGAGTACCAGTATGTATGGGCCATAAATTTTTTTCGGTTAAAAACGTCTCTGGTTCCCCATTTCCCCGCTCTTTCCCTTTCTCACTATGTGAGTGTGGACGTTGTGGCAAACACATTGCAGCAATAATCATTACAGCTTGTTGTTTTTGTTGTTGTTGTTGTTGTTGTTTCTGTTGCTGCTTGCTTTTGCTGTGGTTGTTGCTTCTGGCTGGTTTTTGTCGTTATTACTTTTGGCTTTGAGCCGGTCCCATGGTAAGGGAATGGCAATGGCATGGAGTTGGCAGGGGGGCGTAGAGACGGAAGCAGGACGCGTGCCATTTTCGCCAGTACATATTAAAATTCCTTCGTGCGCTTTTTACTGCACAAACATGGAATTTAAAATTAACAACAGCAACAACTAACCGAACGGAAATCAAGAAAACAACAAAAAAAAAACATGCCATAGGTTTGGCATTGCGACTTGAATAATACCTACTAAATGGGGGAATTCTATTGAGAATTCACGTACTGTGTGTACAATGAAAGAGAATAGTGATAGAAGCGAACAAACATTGTAAATGGGAGTTTCCATGGGGTCTATTGTAGCCCTAGGATTAACAGGATGCAAGGGCCCAAAGTACAAGTACTAGATGACTAGATTATGTACTTTATGGGGCAGGAAACGAGTTCGACTAGTGAGTAGTAATATTCCGAGTAATATTCTCAATGCGATCTGCCCAGAGCAGAAAGAGCAGACATTTAAAATCAAAAGAAAATAATCTCTCAGTCTCTGTAGCTCTGTCGAAAGAACAAACACAATATACCTTCTGTTCTACGAACACTCTGCTGGGTATAAAAATATATGTATGTATGTTTGTGTACATTTTAATCGATACAAAAGCCAAGACCAGTGGCAGTGGCTAGGGTAAGGGGGGGATTGGGCACACAACTAATTATGGGCTGCGGAAAACTAATAATAACAAAAAAGGGGTAATGATAAAAATAGTACGAGTAAAGCAAAAATAATAATAATAATAATAATGATAATGATACTTAATACTTAATCGGCGCATTTCGTTGTTATCCTTTGGCTTTTGTTTCGCAGATGGCAATGGCAAGGATCTGTATTCGCCGGAGGCGGAGAGCTCGCCGGCGCCCTCCTTCGTGGACCCCCAAATGATGGCCGCCCAAATGGCGGCGGGTGGCGGTGTCGTCGTTGGCGGACTGGGCGTGGCCAAGCCCACGTCGCGTACGAGCAGCTTTGAGATTGAGAATCTGCTGAAGACCGCGGAGCAAGTAAGTAGCGGGGAGAGGGGGAAGAAAAAAAGGGGGGAAAGCAAAAGGAGCCCCCAAAGAAAAATATGGATAAAGGAGAAAACGCAAACACAATTCTCTCAATACCCACCCTGCGCCCCGCACCACAGTAGAGTCCACTTTTGGCACCCCCCGCACCCCTCATTGTCCCCACCACCACGCACTCCTCTTCAGTCGTACTTGCAGCAGTATCCCACAGGAACTTGCCACTTGGAAGGCAAATCAAATTGCTTTGAACTCGCAAAGCGGAAACGGAAACTATTAAAACGAGCGCCAAACATGACGAAGGCAAAGGGATACCAAAGGGATTGGGAACGGGAATGGAAAGTGGGAATGTGGAGGTGGTGAATGGGGAATGGGAAATGGTGGTTTGGCGGTTTGGCGGTTGTTCCTCCACTCCCCAATGAGCACTTGTGATTGAAATGTGCACAAATTGAAATTTGCACAAAAAGATAGAGATGTACTCTGCGTGTACTCGAAGAATAAAAGAGGGAAGACAAGGGAAGGCCAAGGGAGGGCCACAGATACCAGAGTTGGCCCCCAAGGCAAAAAGAGCCACAGAGAGAAAGAAAAGACCAAGTGCAGCCAAGGCGTGTGTGTGTGTGTGTATTTGTTTTGTGGTGTGTCGTCTCGACACATCTCAAGATGTCATGGCAAATTTGGCCTATTGGGTCGGTCGCCCACTGCCGCTGCAGCAGCAGCAGCAGCAGCAGTCAAGAGGCTCGAGCCCTGGACGAACAATAAACGTCACAAATAGAAATGTGCCTGGCATAAAAATATCAAGGATATTCCACTATATATATAGTATATATACAACTGAACAACACAACGAATATGTCCAGTGGGTCGGCGGCTAGACGGGAGGGCGGGGGACAAGGGACGGCAGATAGAACAACAAGCAAAGATGCCACAGAATGCACTTTGTTTTCTGGATATGCTTTCCCCAAGTGTGCTCGAAACTGGCAGAAACCCACTTCATTTAATGATACTTGAACACTGTGACACACAAACACACTGAGCGGAGAGGGAGAGGGAGAGGCACCGGCAGAGGGAGGGGGATAGTAGGGGGTGGCGTGTTATATAAGGAATCCTTTTAATTCAAGTTGACATTTCACACAGAGAAGAGCAAAGAGTGAGATAGAGAGAGAGAGAGAGAGAGGCGGCAGAAGCAGAGGGCCAGACTGAAATTCAAGACATTTTCAAATTTTTCATCTTTGGGCCAGGCCAACGGCAACAACAGCAGCAGCAGCAGCAGCAGCTGCATCTGCCACAGATGTTGCCACTGCCACACCGTTGGTGTCCTACCACCTGAGTCCATAAGCTTTCACCTGGAGGCCAGGCCGTAGACCAGCCTTCCACTCCCCCGTATACCCCTGGGGGTGTGTCGTCGTTGTCGTCGTCGTCTGTGTTGGCTTTTGGGTCGGCGTCGCTTATGCAAATCAGCATCGCAGCGCAAAAATGCAGAACAATAAAACAGTTAAAAGTAGACAAGAACAAGCTGCAGAACTGCAACACAGCGGGAAAGGCAGAGGGAGAGACGCAGAGAGGAGGCAACAGAGTGGGGCGGCAGGCAGCGGCAGAGAGCAGAAGTAATAATACACAAAGTGCAACTGCATAAAAGTGAAATGTCTCCACAATGCGAGGCCAAACAATGACAACTGCAATTCCCCAGCAAAAGAAAGAGAAAGATGGGCTTGGGCATGGAGAAAGACAGGGAGAGAGATTACTTGGGGGCGGTATCCTAGTGATGGCAGCGTGACAAACGGATTTCGCACGCTGTCACGGCTGCTGCTGCCCTCGAAGATAAACTGCATAGAGGATAGGGCCATAAATAGTTGAATGGATGCCATTTGCCCCCAGTAATCCAAGTAATTTTCAACAATTCTTAGACACTTCTTCAGCTCGTCTCCTTCTCTCTCACTCACTCTCACTCCTGTGTACTCTGTGTCCTCTGTGTCCTCTGTGTCTCCAATTGTTGACTCAAGTTCAAGACCTTTTTTCGGTTAGAATTCTGTTTGTTTAGGCATTTACAATGCAAATTCATTTTGGCTGGCACTCCTGGCTGCCATTGCCATTGCTGGGCTCAGTCAATTTATCAGGAATGCTCCATTTAACACTTTTTCTGTGTGCCACAAAAGTGTGTGCCACAAGTAGGGGCACACGATGAAGAAGAGCTAAACAAATATGAGAAAAAGTCAAGAGATACAGAAGAGAACGTAAGACCGAACGACCGAAAGGAATGGCTTAAGTAGAAGATGCTGAAGGCTCTGAACCAAGAAGAAGGATGCTGTTGCCAGCTTCTACATCTACTACAGCTACATCTACAGCTACAGCTACAGCTACATCTACATCTTTATGCAAAAGCAGGACTGGGGGGAAGGGAAGCAAGCGGTGCAGCACCTCTCCCATGAGAGATGGTGTACTATGTGTATGTGTGCCACACCCACTGTATGTCAACCGTCAAGCGTCAACTGTCAGTGCCAAATGTGCTTGTAACCGCAACAGCAGAGAGCACAGCACAGAACAGCGCAGCAAGGGAAAGAGAGACAGGGAGAGAGAGAGAGAGGAGTGAGAGAGTGGCCACAAAACACTTTAGCCGCAACACACACCAAAGGCTGCAAGAACAGAAAGGGATAGGTGGGTGGGGGAGTCTACACTGCAGCACAGAACAGAGAACAGAGAACAGAACAGAACACAGACGACTTGGACAAGGACGTGACAGTCATTTAGAACCGCAGATGTCTCAGAGTTAGAGTCTCCTTGAAAGTGGCACCCTCTACATGAACGAACCACGAACCAAACACCCTGCCCCCTGCCCCCTGCCCCGTGAGCCACTGCTGGTATTATACTCGTATAAAAAACTATCGCCTGTCTATCTGTATCTTCTGTCATTTTGCTAACTTCATTTTCCTTTTTATTGCCATTTATTTGGTGTCTCCTTTTTCATGCGTTCGCATCTCTTTTTCGTTTCTTTTTTCCGTGTCCTTTTTCGTGTGTGTTTCTTTGTGTGTTTGTGGGTTTGCTCCTTTTCGTTTCACGAACAAACAACAAACAACAACAACAACTCTCTACTCATCATGCAACAATTAAACACTACAAAAAACACACCACACAACACAACAACAACAACAACTATAACAACAACAACAACATGAACCTGACAACATGAACCCCAACATGTTAAGGTTACCGGATTTTGTCGTTCACCCCAGGAAACTCGCAAATCGAGCCCCACAGGCTCTGTCACCTCATCGGTGTCGACAACGGCATTGACCCCATCACGGCAGCTAACCGATGCGGAGAAGCTACGCAAAGTCGTCATGGAGCTGGTGGACACGGAGCGCACCTATGTGAAGGTAAGTCCCCCCCACTCCACACACCCCTCTTTAATCTCTTTAACAGTCTGCCAGCCCGGGAATCAACCAAATCCTGGCCATCGACCACACTACTGTTGTCGGTGGTAGCTCTCAGTCTCAGCCTCAGTCGCTGTCCCAGTCGTCGGGTATTCAATAGGAGTCTAAAGTCTGAAGGCCAAAAGGCGGATGGCGGATGCTGGGTTGGGCTGGGAAGGGAAGGGGGCGAAACAAAAGTCCGCTTGCAATTAAAAATTCAAATTTTAATCCTTTAACTGTGTCCCGGACTTTGTTTCCCCTGATTCGGAGGAGGCTCCACGCCCACGCCAACTGTTTGCTTTAAGCCACCGTCGAAGCCAGAGTCCTGGGCCCAGGAAGCATACAAATAATTATTATAATTTAGAAATTATGTAAAGCGCCGCTGCGGCAACGGCAACGGGCGATGGGCGATGGCTCCGGGTCCTGGATCCTGGATCCTGGATCCTGGCTCTTATCTGCGAAACATAGACTGCGTGGTCCGCGTGGCCCACTGGCTGTGCTGTGGCTGCGGCTGCTCCGCATTCGTTGCCTGCTGCCCGGAAGTATTGTTCCAAATGAAAGCGCGCGCCTGTGGCGATGCTACAGTATTTCTGCCCTGCCCGGACCAGTCTCTTTTTTTTTTGTTTTGTTTTTTGTTTCATGTTTTGTGCCAGTTTGCAAAACTAAAAAGTTTCCTCCGCCAAACCGAGCAGAACCGCTGGCCAACTCCGATGGGAATTGTTGTGGCCGCCTGTAGGACTCGGTCGAAGACTCAGACTCCAGCGCAGACAGTGGTCGTTGATTTTTAAATTTAATTTATGCATTTTTGTTTGTCCCTCCAAAAATATTTGCCCCGCCCGCGCCTCTTCCGCTCGTACTATTTGTATAATTTGTGTAATTTGCAATTTATTGAACGAGAAGACTAATCCACAATCCACAATCTTGAACACAGCACTTGAACAATCTGCTGGAGCACTATCTGGAGCCCATGAAGCGGGAGACATTCCTCTCGAATGCCGAGATCAATGCGCTGTTCGGCAACATACACGAGATCGTCACATTCCAGCGACAGTTTCTACAGAATCTCGAGGAGTCCCTGGACCTAGAGCCGGAATTCAATAAGTTTGAGCACTGCGGACAGTTCAGGGTGAGTACTGGCGACAGTCATACGATATGTAGATCCTATCTCTGAGTATTTCCCCCTACAGAATGTGCTCTTTGCGATTGGTTCGGCCTTCCTGTACTATGTGAATCACTTTAAGCTCTATTCCTCGTTCTGTGCGAGTCACAGCAAGGCGCAGAAGGTCCTGCATCCGAGTGAGTATTTCCCCAGACAAATGGGCCTTCAATTTACATGCGAGTATACGTACATTATATCAGTGTAAGAAATGCCAAGATATGGGGGCGCAAATTAACACTCTCCACTGTCTTATATGCTGGCGAAACGCACTGTAGTTGTCGTTCTATGTATTCCAACTATTGCAATCAGCGTCAAGCGTCAAAGTCTATTTGAGTTGAAGTTGAGGCAAGAAACTCTCGGAAAAGTCAAACAAGAGAACCAAGCAGAACCCGGCAACAATTGGCAAACTATTCGCTTCAGTTGTGTGGCATGCCACGGCGGGGCGTTTCACTTTAAAATGATTTGCAAGTTAAATGAATAATTACAACCACAAATGGCAGCCAACAAAAGTGGTCTACGGCGTACGGGAAAGAGAAGGGGAACCGAATTCCAAACGAATAAGAAAACGGGCATAAGGCGGGGGCCATGGTTGCCTGATGGGGTGAGGGGGGGGGCCGGCAGCATATTCATATTCATGCCAAGGCAGAGAGGGGGGGCCACCAACGCCAACGCCAACGCCAACGCCAACCTAGCAGTGGCAGCGGCAACTGTCAAGTATCTTTTGTTAATTAAACTTGTAGAATTATGACACGCTTACAAATGGCGACCCAAAACTATGCCACAGGAGCAGGCAGAGGCAGGAGACTTACACGCTTGTGTGTGTGGGTGTGTGTGTGTGTGTGAGGCAGGAGAAAGAAACAGAGGGTGCTTGTTGCAGGGGCAGGAATAGACAGAGGCAGAGAGAGAGAGAGAGTGAGAGAGAAAGAAATTATCCTGCTGCTGCAGTGAAGCGGATAAAAGGCAATGCTGGGACTGAGAGAAAAGAGTCTGGGACAGGCCAGACAGCCACATGTCATAATTAAATTAGACTTAGTCCAAGCTTAAAAACACCCAGGCAAACAGAGGGACTGCCACACCACAGCACAGCACAGCACACCCTCACCTCATACCTGGTATGCCTTCTCGCATCTCTCTCTCCACACTCTCCATGCACACGCACGCACACTCGAAACTATCCTGGCAACATTGATTGAGGCAAATGGGATCCATGGCAGCCGTATCCGTATCCGTGGATTGGCATTGGCTGCCTGGGAAGAGCTAATCAAAAGCGTTCGAGGTAAAAATGTATGCACAATATTTGCAATCAATGAGCTAAGCTCCAGAGCTTCAGAGCGTTGTCAAGGTAACCCAAAAGGGGGAGCAGGCAAAGGCAACAGGAGCGCCATCATCCACTTAACAGAAGGGTGAGGAGTGCGGAGTGCGGAGTGGGGAGGAGGAGTAGCTGCACAACGTGCCACAACGTGGCACTGCGCCTGGCTGTTGCATGAAATTTTATGCAAAAAGTTGAAAGGATAATTAATTATAGCAAGAAGTGCACTTAAGTGCCTTCGTTACGTGCAGCAGGAGAAGCAGCATCAGAAGCAGATGCAGGAGGCTTGTCCGACTGGCAGAAGGACAAGCAGCCAGCGACAGGCGCTATTAGACGTAAATCTGCTGCTACTCCTGCTCCTGCTCCAGCTCCTGCTACAGACGGGCTTTGACTTTGCCTTTATCAAAAGCTGCTCGGCTGACAATAAGAACAAGTTAATGACATTTTCTTGTCGACGTTGTGACGTTGCCAATGCCATGCCATGCCATGCCATCCCATGCCATGCTATCCCTTGCCTTGCCGTTATCCCTGTAACTGCATAGCCTTGTGCCGCCTTTGTGCATCCCTCTCTCTCTCTCAGCGGCCCTTAATGGGCCAACGTCGCAATTAATTACACCGACTCGAACGAACGAACGTCCCCATTGAAATCGAATCATTTGGCAAATGTCTCAATTTACATTTCTATTTTGCCTCTCTACCCTGCCATCTTCCATCCTCCATCCTCCATCTTCATCTGCCACACCCAGATGAAGGCAATCATGCCCTGCAGGAGTTCCTGGCGGCACGCAATCCCAAGCAGCAGCACAGCAGCACCCTGGAGTCGTATCTGATCAAGCCCATTCAGCGCATCCTCAAGTATCCGCTGCTGCTGCAGCAGATGCGCAATCTAACCGATACCCGGGCCGACGAGCATGTACATCTGTGTGGTAAGTCCTTGTGGAGCTTACACGAGGGACGAGGGAGAAACCTTCATTTAAATCTTTCTATTATGCAGAGGCTCTTAAGGGTATGGAGAAGGTGGCCGAGCACATCAATGAGATGCAGCGCATCCACGAGGAATACGGCGCCATATTTGATCACTTGTTCAGGCAGCATCAAAAGTCCTGCAAGCAGCCCATTGACTTGAGTCCAGGTGAGATCCTCAATCACAACCGAATATATCCTCTGAGCATAGGCTAATATATACATATGTTTTATTTTTCAGGCGACCTGCTGTACTACGGCGGTGTCGAGTGGCTCAATATATCAGATTTTCTGGGCAAGATTAAGAAGGGACTTGAGTTGCATGCCATGTGCTTTGTGTTCAAGTCGGCGGTTGTGTTCCTCTGTAAGGAGCGCTTGCGACAAAAGAAGAAATTGATGGTAAGCAAGAGACGAATAATCCCTGAAGAATCCTCCACTAAAATATATGTGCCAACTATCTGCTCCTCCGTAGGGCGTCTCGAGCAAGAATGCCACCAATGAGGTAGAGATAATACGCTACCAAGTGCTCATACCCGTCACCGAGGTACAGGTGCGCGCCAGCTCGGCCAAGGACATGGACTCGCACTTCCTGTGGGAGCTCATCCATCTGCGCTCGCAGCTGCAGCGACGCTCCGAGAAGGTCTACGTGCTGTCCAACAGCACTGCGGACTTCCGGAACGCCTTCCTCAAGACCATACGCCAGATCATACGCGAGAGCGTGCGGAACATGTCAATTCCCATGAAGAACTTTGGCGGCAGCTCCGGCTCCGTGTCGGGCCACTCCTCGCAGGGTATGAGCGGACACGGACACGGCTATGCGGGCAACTCCCAGACCCTGGAACGGCCCAAGCAGCAGGTAAACCTGCAATTGGGCTTACACTCTTCTCGATGGATCTTCTAATCTCCCTGGGGCATCACCCCACCATTCCCCGCAGATAACCATCGTTCATGGCTCTCACACGCTGGGCAAACCGAAGAAAAAGTCAGGCTCGCAGCGGCACTCGGCGGGCAACATCGACTATGACAACCTGTCGGGCAGCCAGGAGGCAGACGATCTGCCTCCGAGCGTACACTTTGGCCCTGGCCACAGCCACGGCCACGGCCAGCCGATGCAGCCGAGTGGCTTCCGCAGCCGCAGCAAGACGGTGGGCGATGTGACAGGTGAGTGTTCCACGGGACTGCCCGACTCCCAAGCCGCTTTCTGACTCGCTCGCTAACCAATGCCAATTAACGCTTCATCCCCCGCTTCATCACATTACATTCATGCCATAAAGAAATCGCTTACTCCTCCATAGAACCCCAGCAACAGCAACAGCAGCAGCAGCAACAGCAGCAGCAGACTCATACGCATCCACATCCCCATCCACATCCGAGGGAGCCACCACCGCCGCCGATCAGGCAGCCGCACTTGCATCACCACAGCAGCGACATTGAGCGGATCGATCCGGGGACAAAGTCAGAGGGGGAAGAGGACTCACAGCAGGGCACAATCAGGCCCAAGGCCACACTGGGCCGCACGCCCAATCACCTGACGCTGAGGTAAGTGTAAGGATCCGATCTGATCCGATCCCGTAGACTCAACTCGACTATTGCTCGACCCTTACGCTCTCGCCTTACGCTCTCTGCATTTCTCCATGTGAATCTGAATCGGAATCCTGTAGCACCACATCGACACTCTCGGTGGGCAGCACTGGGAGCCAGGCACGCCTGATACAATCCTCACATCCGCCGGCCAGCTACCAGCCGGTGCTGATGAAGGACCTAGGTAAGCCCAGCGACGAGTCGGAGACGGACTCGAGATCGGAGTCCGAGGTGCATGCCGCCCAGGTGGCGGCCTCCTTTAATATAAGTCTAGGCAGTAGTGGTAGCTTGTTCGCCAGTTCCGACCCCAATCAGCCACAGACCCAGGCACAGTCACAGAATCAGATACAGAACCAGATCCAGACCCAGACCCTGCACTTGTCCCCGCGTCAGTCGCCCCGTCAATCGCCCCGACAGTCGCCCAAGCAGGAGATCGAGGTGATCGAGATCTTTGAGAGCGAGGCGGAGCGTCTGGCCGCCTCGCAGCAGGTGGCGGTGGTCCACCAGCACCATGCAGTGGGCCAGGCCAGGGAGTCCTTGCATAAGCAACGACGCGACCGTGACCGAGACCGTGACCGTGACCGAGAACCGACCGAGACGGACGCCACAGCTCGCTTCATGGACAAGCACCTGAGTGACCTGGAGCAGGAGAATCTGGCGGATGGCACCTGTGACATTGTGGCCTACATGGCAGGTCTGCGCGAGAAGGCCTTCGATCCGCAGGATCTGGGCGAAGAGGCGGCCGATCAGCAGCAGAACGACTCCAGTCTGTCGCCAGAGCCGCAGACCATCGTGGAGAACACCCAGCAGACGGTGATCGTGGACATTGAGTCGCCCTCGCGGCCCGCCACCGAGTCGGACAGCACGGGCACCACCACAGGACCCTCGGAGCGGTCCGGCGACGAGACCGAGGAGGAGGCCACCACCAGCTCCGGCCAGGCCTCCCACATCGTCGTGATTGACAAGAAAGTGGACAAGATATTCAAGGCCAAGTCCCCGGAGCGACCCGTCTCCATGAAGCCGAAGAGCGGCAAGCGGCAGAGCATCTACATATCGCCGGACCGATGCAAGTCCCAGGGCAGCTCCCCGGTGCGCATCATCAAGATCAAGTCCCCGCGCACGAGCCTCAGTGATCAGGGCAAGCGGCTGAGCGTCTGCTCGTCGCGGGACAACTCTCAGGATCGCATTTCCGGCGGCCGACGCACACCCAGTCCCCGCCGATCCTCGGAGGGTGGTGGCATTCTGAAGCACACCAGTCCGGCTCCGGGCATACTGAAGCCTCCCTCCAGTCCGGCCAAGTCGAAGAGTCCCGATCGCAGCTGCCTGAAGAAGGGCGGACCATCGCACGTGTGCAGCGTGGAGACGCTCTCGCCGCACATCTCGCCCCGCAGCAGCCTCGATCATCTCTCCCCGGACAGGGGCAGCACCTGTCTCCGGCACTCGCCCCGCAGCAGCTTCGACAGCCACGGCGGATCCGACCACAATCTGGATGTGCCCTACGGCGGGCGCAAGCGCAGCATGTCCGCCCATGGCAGCTTCGAGACGGGCACCAAGCCGCGGCCCCAGGAGACATATCAGTACTATCCGGTCTACGACAACCAGACCTGCAGCGATCACTATGTGGCCGCAGCGCCCAGTGGTCGGTATGCCAGTGGAGGCAGTGCAGGCAGTGGCGGTGGCGGTGGCGGACGCAGTCGCCTGAGCAAATCCCTGGAGCGCTCCACATCCCGTGACAGTACCACGACAAGCAGCTCCTATGGCCAGCGGGCGTATGGAGTCTCTCCGGATCGCAATTACGTGGTCTACAGCTCGGGACCGCTGCGATCCCAGTCGGCGGAGAACACCTTCTCACAGCCCATCTACGATCCGGTGCCCAGGCAGCCGCTGCCGCTGCACCAGCCGCCGCACCTGCACCAGCCGCAACAGTACGTCAGCTACGTGCCCGAGATGGGTGGCTATGGACCACCACCCTCTGGCTATCCAGGAGGTGGCTGCTCCCACGATCAGCAGCAACAGGCGGGCTACCAGCTGAGCTCCTCGGCGCCCGAATACACCACATGCATTGACTGTCTGTACCAGAAGCGACCCTCCTAGCATAAGTCCCGCGTGCGGCAAAGTCGCACGCGGAAGAAGACGCCCCGGGGCATGGTGGTGGTCAGTGCGCAGCCGACGGCCACGGGAGGGATAGGGTTCGTGCCAGAGATGGGTGGTGGTGGTGGTGGTGGCGACACCGGAGGATGTGTCGATTGTCACGACTACTTCGAGATACACGTCTAGGCACAGAACTGGCACTCACAGAGCTGTCACAGAGAGAGGACTGAGGAGGGAACGTATCTACATAGACTAGAGTTTTTTGAATCCACTCAGAATGCAACCAAAGATAACAGCAACAACAACCCGAATGCCTCAACAAACTAATTTTAACCGAACTCAGCTCAGATATACGTAAACGCAATGCAAACAAATGCAACCTAACATACACATAACCGAAATACATAACCGAAATACTCGTACTCGAACTTCAACACAAGGGATTGAAATCAAAGACCTAGCATACAGTAAACAGTATACAGTATATACACACAATCTACAAATATGTAACCCGGAAGAGAACATAACCCCAAAAACAATCGTAAAGAAAACTCAGTTTCACTCGTTACTCGCTACTCGTACTCGTTGTGTAAGTGTTTAGCATGTAAGTCACCCTGAATCCGAGCGTAGTTTTTTGGCTCTTTAGAGTACCGTAGTCCATACCGAACAAAAAAAAAAACGAAAACTAATCAAAAACCCCAAGGAGAATGGAGGCTGGAGGCTGGAGGATGATGCAGGTGAGGTGGTAGCATAATGTGTGCGCCACCACCATTTCTAGTTAATTATTTAAGCTGCAGTAGCCGAGCATTTCACCATGATTTACACAGAAAATGTCGGAAGTTCCGCCATGTGGCACGGCACACGAAGGGGTGCCATGAATAAATATTACGTATACGCCGCGTTGCACACACAATACTCAAGTGCCGTAATTACGAAGGAAAACAACAACAGAACAAAGCAAAACAAACCAACAAATAACAAAAACTCAAAGTGCTGCGAACAGAGAACAGAGAAAAGAGAAAAGAAACTAAAACTAAAGTTGAAATTCATACTCGCACTCAAGTAAACTACCAAGAGACATGCAGCCCCAACTTACTGGCAAACTAAAAACTCAACTCAACTTGAAACATAGACGGGGGGAGAAATTACAAGAAGCACAAGAAAATGAAAACTATATGCACTCGCACACACATACCACACAATGGGGTAAAACAAAAAATAGAAGAAAGTTGAAGGGAAGTCGCCAACCAACCAGCTATCAGTAGAGCTGAGAGAGAGAGAGAGCTGAGAGAAGGGAAAACTATGTCACTGGCAACATTTCCGCAGATGATGCCTGGAGCAGTCGGGCGTGGAATCTGCGAATGAAATCAACAAATTTTAATTACCCATCAAACAAAATGAAAGGAAACTGCAACTGCAAATGCAACTGAGCTGGCCCAATTCGGGGTTTTGGCCAACATTCTATAGGGTTAACAGAATAAATACCTAACAAAACGTATACCTAAAGCGGGGATTATTTACACGGAAAACAAAAACAAAAAACAAAAAAGATAAAATTAGTTAGAACAAATTTTCGAGTGTGTGTGAGAATAATGTTGTGACAAATAATTTGCATATACATATATGCATATGGTTTTTGTATGATTTTTATAGGTTTTTTATAGAGTATATAAAACAAATATACATGCATATACAAATCGAAGCCAAATCACAATTTCCTACTCGTACAACTCGTACTCGTATGCTTACCGGCATTTCCATTTTAACATTTCACTAAATCAGAAAATACAATAAACAGAATACCAGGCAATCGATGTGTATTCAAAGAATGATAATCGTAAGTCGTACCTCAATGTTCAGTATTTTATGTATACAAAAGGTAGCTGCAGAAAATACTCATACATACTATATACATATATTGTATATCCGAAACTCTCCCTTCCGCCCAGCTCCTGGGGCCAGGTCAAAGGAATATCCTTCATATATAGCGGCCTGCGCCAAACCAAAACCCCCAAGCCAAACAAACACTCGACTAGCAAAATGATTAAGATCAAATTTCAGGTTGTTGTAACACAAGAATTCAAAGGGAAAAAAAAACATAACTAAACTAATGAAAATCATAGTCAAAATACATAGTTTTAAGCTTCATGAAACGTTTACAGTTTACAGTTTACACTGGGCTTCACAGCAGCAAAATCAAAAGGGAAAAACCATTTTCAAAAATCAAAAATATACATAAATAATATGACATATATACAGCAGCATATGCAGCATATACAGCATATGCATAAAATGGGAATCCTCAGAAATACGAGTATATACATATACACAAATAAATGCAACTAAATAGAGTTAAGCGGAGACCGCAAAATGGGAGAACTTTTAAGTGTAAAACAGTAAAACAGTAAAAGCTAAAACAAATATCAAATGTAATCGGTAATCCATGTGTGCACACTCAGACACAGACACAGATATAGACAGACAGACGAACGGACAGTGAAATGTTGGTGTTCAAACACCGAAACCCACTAAACAAACAATCAAAAAATAAACAACAAATGAGCGGGGCAAACGAGCTACAACTTGAAAATCAAATGAATAAAAACGAACACTAAAACCAATACCAATAACCAATACAAATATAACTAATAATAATAATGGGAAAACTCGTAACTAAACTAAACTCTAACTAAAGCAATTGAAATGCAATTTAACGAAATGAGATATGGGAAGAAGTACACAGCATGCATACTATACAATACTTATACATACATATATGAATACCAATACTCTTACACGTTACACGTACACACCCGTACAAGCAAGCCCTGACGGACAGAGAGACAGAAACCTAATCGAGTTCATGCAGCGATTACCTGGCCTATCCCTCCTCATAAATATGTACACTCGATACACTCGTCACTGGTCACCCCCTGGAAGAATACTGAGATACTGCCCCCTCCCTCAATTAGTTATGCATTTAAATTTATTTTGTAGTTGCTTAGCAGGTAAGTGCAACAATGTTCATTTGTATTTAGGCGACAGAAAGCAGTAAAGCAGTAAAGCGGTCGAATTGAATTGAATTAGTCATTAAAAAATTAATCGGGTGATATTCCATTTTGTTTACACACACACACACAAACACACACACAAATTATCTCAAAGATAACTAAAATCCCAGATAACTAATGAAACACAAGCTTAAATAAAGTTGAATTGAGTTAGATACATACTCGTATATACATATTACATATACATATGTATATAAGTCGAAGTCAAAGTCGGAACGAAGAGGAAGACGAAGACGAGGCGAAGGCATGTTAAGTTAGTATTAGGTTTTATTTTCCCGCCTATTCCGATGTGGATGGGATGCATCTCTTATCCATACAATATACATATATATCCATATAGCGTATCTGTGTATCTGTTGTGTCTGTTACAAAACACTTGATATTATTAGTTGGCATCGCTTGATTAATTAATTAACAAACTAACAAACCAGAAACAGAAACAGAACTCAAACTGATATTGATATTGAAACCAACAAAAGGACTTTGCAAGTTTTCTTTTTCCAATTTGAACGTTTTGCATTTTCTCGAAAGAAAAATCACAAACTAACAAAATCAAATAACAAAAGAGACATCGAAGTATCGATAGTGTGCCACAGATCTGAAACCAAATCTTGTACTGCCGAAAGAGCGCTAATATCTAATGCAAAAGTACATTATAATCGAATTATATATTTATACAACTATATATATATGTCTTATGGTTACACACACGTGCCCCCACAAACTCGACCTGCCACAAACTCCCACCACTACCACCACCACCACTCCTTCAATTTAATCGCTATTTTCCTCAATTTATTCGGCATTTTTCCACACCCTCTCGTCCGTCCCTCCCAACCCACACACAAAGTTTTTGTCCAGAAATTTAATTTTCTGTTTGCTGTACTAACAAAACTTTTTGTGTGCTAAATAAAAATAAAATGAAATATACATAAATTGAATTTTATGAAACTCCCATCTATTCGCATTGCACAACTTTTTTCATCATTTTGAATCACGCTCTCTTTGACTTTTGCATTTGAAAAACTCATCTCAAAATTTGGGGAAATGCTTGGCCACTTTTTCCGACACAATTTTCCAATTATTACTTTCCCCTACATACGAGTATGTATGTATTTATATCTGTGTATATCTCTCTCCATATATAATTTTGTATTTGTATTACGAATTGGAGTCCCCCCCATCCTTCCCGCGCAAGCAAGACACACACAAAAACTTCAGAGGCAGAAAAGAAAATGTTGGCATAAAATGCAAAACTGTTGATCAGAAATTCGAAAATTTGCCTAGTCTATAACTATAGTAACAAAAAGAAAAAAAAGAAACGAATACAAAAAAAGATGAATCGAAATGAATGGAAATACCAGAACAAGCGATGTCAACATTTTAGCCAACACAACTGTACTCAATTTAAGCCTAACCCACAAATGTTAGCTGTTGAACTTAGTGTTGATCCCTCCACAGCCCAAGCCCCAGACCCACCCCAAAACCAGTCCAAACAAAACCCCACCCCACCACCAAATATATTGAGTAGCGAAAGCCCGTTCTTAAGTGTAGTGCTCATTACATTAAACAATAATTAGTTTTGCTTATATTTTTTCTAACCAAAAGTGCGCCCAAAGTCGAGTATTTTGGTCGCGCTGCTTGCATGCTTTTTTGAACTTAAAAAATAACCCCCGACTGAAAATTGGCCGAACATTTATTACTTAAAATCTATACGACACAATTGTATATAACCAAATGGAGATGCCCCTCCTCCCACTCGCTCTCTCTGTCTGTCTCTCTCTCACTCTCTGTTTCTAACTCTTTCTCTCTATATTTTCTATATAAAAAGAAACTGAAAACTATAACCGAAACTACAAATTAAGTTCTGCAAAAACCTAAACCAAAACGAAAATATTTCATAATTTTTCATATATGTATGGTTTCCATTGTATCTTTTTCTTTCTTTCATTTAATTGTAGGGTCCCCGGTGTGGAAACCACGAGACATGATAAATTTAGGCACAGATCCACAGTCAACAACCCGCAAAGACGATGTGAAAAACTAAGTCAGAAAAAGCAAAACAAAACCTTTAGTATCAAGCTAAGCAAACATAAGAGCTCTTAAGCCTTCACAGCTTCACAACTTCAATTCCTTTGTTCGATTTCTCAATTTTACGAGTAACTAATCAAGTGTGAGGCAACAGCCAGCAACAGCAACAGCAGAGGCATCAGTTCAGAGTTCAAAGCAGACCCGCAGAGAACAGAACAGAACAAAACAGAGCAGAGCAGACCCCAAGCCCAAAGAATTTCTCAAGCACAACTGTACCTCCGCCAAATGAAGATGCATTGCGACCATAAATTGGAATGGAAGTGGAAGTTCGCTCTTGAGAAATGCTTGGGTTTCGGTTTCTGTGTGTCTCTGTGTCCTCTCTTTTTAAAAGGATAAAACATCGAAGAAGTTTTGTGTAATTTTTACTTTTACGTTTTTACCGATTAGAAGAGAATAGAGGAGAGAAGAAATCACATACACATAAAGATACTTGGAGATCTTTTTTTAGAGTAAACCCAAAATGAAGAAGACTTTGATTTGTATTGATTGTATTTAAAGTGCAAAACATATAATAAAAGCATAATTAAAGCAAAGGATTTTGAGCAGATTTAATAAGAATTAAGAATAAAAATGATTAAGAAATATGAGAACAAATTCAAATGCATTTGTCGCTGAAAAAGACTTGAACGTAAATTTCGATTTAAATACATTTATTGAGGAATATGAGATGAAGATGACGATGCAGCAGATAAGAGAAGAAAACGTAAACCAATTGCAAACATTGTATTTAGGATTAGAGAATTTAAATTATAAAACTAAAACAAAAACTCAAACGAAAACCAAAAACCTAAAGAGCAAGAGAATTGCAGCAAGAAAAACAATGTCAAATGCAAACATTAAACAAAATAAAGAAGGAAATTTTAGCCAATTAAGCCACACCCACACTCACACACTGAAGCAAATGAACACACTCGTAATCGTAAATGGAAAATTAAAAATGAAAATGACAGCAGCAATGCAAATGTTTAGTCTGTAGGAAGTACACTGAAAAAACACAAAATATACCATACAAAAACCACATACTACACGTAAAAGAAGCAAAGTGAAACAAAAGAAAAGAAAATAGCAAAAATTTAGTCAAAATGTTAAATGGTAAACTAACAAAAGAAAACTAATAACAAAACGAAGTGACACATTACAATTCCAAACACTCAAATTGGGCTCACGGGGTCCCTCCACAGACCCAACCCCAGCCCCAATCGATACAGTACTCACTCGTACACGAAAACCAAACCAAACAAAACGTTAATTGCAGAAAAACAAAAAACTCAAAGCAGATGCGAACATTAAAAAATATATTATAAACTATACAAAAGTATGAATAAAACACAAAAACACAAAAATATATAAGCATAAAGCAAGAAAACGAACACAAACACAAACTAAAAGAAGACAACACTCTCTAGCAGAATTACAATAATAATTAAGAACTTCACTTCGAACACTTTGAGAAAAATGGATAACGATGACAACCGAATTATAGATAAGCAAAGAAGTAAACCCAAAATCCAAAAAAAAAAACCCATAAACAAATGCACAATTTTCGAGATCTAAATTGAACATTTGTTTGATTTCTCTATATCTCAATATGGTTTTCAATTTTTTTAGAATGAACTTTAGAGGAATAACTAACAAAACATACAATACAAATAATACAAAACTCAATGAAAATTCTACCAAAAAATGGGAAATAATAATAAATTGGTTGTGAATGCAGCTTGGATGTTAATTCGATTCAGGAATATAATGAAATCCCCCAATTGCTGAACATTTGTTTATTCCTCCGGCCGTACACGTACAATGTTCGTACAAGTAGCGATTGTCAATGGTTTTGTTTTTCAGTGTACTTGCAGGCATTGCTCACACCCATTCACACGTTAATTCATTAATTTTTTAAAGACCCCAAACCCCATTGAACCATGTAGCAACAAATCGAAACATAATCAAAACATTTTTTAGGTTTCCAATCAAATTGAATTACGACTAAATATACAAATGTAATCTTTAATTAAACGATGAATGGAGAATAATAATAATGATAATTGAAGTACAGACCATAGAAAGCTATAAGAAGTCGAGTAAATAGAAATTCTAAAATGTATACAA